GGGCTGCTACCGACATCAAGGGTTCTTTTCCCTGGGGCATCCGATGGCCAGGAAGGAAGGCAAGAATGACGTTTTCAGGTTAACTAAAGTTAGCAGGAGGTAAGATGAGAGTACTACATTTCTGGTGCGAAATGAGAATTCTGCAGGAAAAGATGTACAACCACAAATGTAAAGGAGAGGAGGGTGAGGAAACATGTGGCATTTATTCACTGGTCTATTTCCAAGCAATCCAAGGACACACATCCGATCACCGATCACCATTAATGGGCACTGCACTGTGGGATTCAGAGGTCACATTTCACATGCCAGAAGGTTCTCACTGCCCCTGCATTCCAAATAGGAACTGACTTTGGGGGGTGAGCATGGGTAATGGGGTGGCAACTTCACATCATTGAGCCTGACCTGCCAGGTGTGCTCACCAACCTCGTAACACATTAAGCTTCCCATGTTACCCAGCTTGAAACCTGTGCAAAGGAAATATCAGCTCATTAGGAATTCTGGGCTGCTAGCACATGCTGGGGAATATCACAATATGTGAAGCTCACATAGAGCAATCCATTATTCTTTAAGAACAACTCTGAGGATTTGAGAGTAATACATACAGATGAAGAGGAAAAAAGCTGCCATTTTCTAGCTAACAGGTGACCCATTTCTTTACTGTATCATTTCTCTCTCAGGGTGAGGTGCTGACCACCCACATGTCTCATGATACAGCAAACTAAGTAACAAAGCCACGAAGGATCCGAAGTATCTGAGGGAGACACCTTAGCATTAAAGAAACAAAACACAAAAATACTCTCCTACTCATTTTAGCAGGGAAGAGATACGTTATTCAATTAGTAATCCTGTGACAATAGGGGAAAACGATGCATATCTAACTCCACAATAAATTCTAGCATGTACTAAGGTAAACACTAAAAAATATGACTATAAAAAGGCTTAGACAACAACAGAGGTAAACTTAAAATGGATCTCACGTTTGCTAAGGACTGCCGAAGCAGAGAATCAAAGGAAACACATGAAGGAAAGGACTGAGGGATGTAACAATAGGAAAGTGTGAAACTTCTGGACTATATGGACACTAGTAAGTTCCAGGAGAAAAACCATATAACTATCTCAAGAGATGCTACAAAGGAATGCAATTGTAGATACATTCTTGACAAGATACATCCTGAGTCAAAAGCCAATGTAAAATGTAATAGTGAAACATCAGAAACACCCTCATCAATGTAAAAATCAAGACAAAATTTCCACTGTCACCATAATTATTTAATATTCTTTTGTACATTTACCGACACAGTGAGGGAGGAGAAAAATAAAAAGAATGAAGAAAGACAAAAGATCATCACCTGAAGGCTATATATAAACCAACTAACAAAAACTATCAGAGAAGCAGTGAGGTAGCTGGTTACACAATTAAAGACCAACAGTCTCCTGTCTGCAAACAATACACCATTAGAAACATCATGAGGGAGACAGTCCTTCTACAAAAGCAATAAATGGCTTTTTATTATGAAGATGAAAATCTCCCTAAAATAAGCTTTCAGCATGACTTCCACCAAAATTTAAATGAAATGTGCTTAGAATTTGACAACATGATTCTGATGTTTATCCAGACATGAAAACATGTGAGAACAACCAAGGAAACCTAGATTAGAAAGAGCAATTAGAGACTAGGTACATAAAAGTATAATAAAGCTTTCATACTTTACACAGTGCAAAACTGGAATCCGTAGTAGAGAGACTTATCAAGAAAACTGAATAGAGGATTTGGAAATAGACCCAATTAATACAGCTATGTGGCATATAATAAAAGTGGTACTTTAAATTAGTAAGGAAGAAAGACGTGGTGTTGAGATAAAAACACATCCATCTCGAGAAAAAGTAACCTGAAACCTCTCAGCTCACTCCTTGTCATATATAACAATAAATATACTCCAGATGTCGCAGTTTTAAACATGAAGCATGAAAGCATGCAGGTCCTGGAATGGTGGATACTGCTGCTATTCCAAATTCATTTCCAATTTTATTCATAAAGGCCATGTGACAAGATCAAATATTCACTTCTCCAAACTCCCTGGTAGGTAGAGGTGGCAGGTGACACCCTTGTGGTCACTAAGACATCAGCTTCGGGTTTTAGGGGAAGCTTTGGATTCCTGACTCAGAGAGCCCCAAGTCTTCCTCCCCGTTCCTCCTTCCTGCCTGGAACATAGACACTACTGCACTCATCATGTGATCGTGTGATCACGAGGCAGAAGCACCAGGATGAGCGCGGGCGGGAGAGAAAGGCAGGAAAGCATGGCTCTCCAAGGGGATTCCTGAGCTGGCCTGGACTCTGGCGTGGGAGGGTTTCAGGAACTGTACTTGGGTATTCTCTTCATTTGCAGCCCAACTGAGTCCCAACCATTTCTAGTGAAGAGTTTCATAATCTTGGAGAGAAAATTACTAAATATGTAAGAAGCCCCAAATCCATAAAGGAAAACACTGATTAATCTAGTATAAAAACTTTCCAGAGTTACAAACAGACGCATATCATATACACATTTAAAAGACAAATGATAGAAGAGAGAACTATGACAAACATACATAAACCTAACTGCTTAACGTACACGGAACTCACCAACAAAACCACGTACAGTTCAATGGAAAAGCGGGTCCTTAATGACTCAGCCTCAGAGGTTACTGAGCGTCCCTTCTGCTCCCCTGCACTCTCCTCTCCTAGCTGAAGCAGCCATAAGCCCACCCAGATCCAAGGAGAGGGGACCCAGACCCCACTTGTGAGTCAGGAGACCATCAGAGAATTTGCAGGCATAATTTAAAACCACTACCAACTGTAACTATTGAACTTAGCAATTCCCCTGCTAGGGATTTATCTTACAAACGCAAGCAGAGTTGTGTCGACAAGATCTTTGTAAAGGATGCTCATTCTGGCATTGTTTGTAACAATGGTTCTCAAATTTCAGCACACTTCGAAATCACCTGGAGGGTTCGTTAAAACATAGATTGTGGGGTCCCAACCAGAGTTTCTGATTCAAGGGGTCTGGGGCGGGGCTGGAGACTTTGAAATTTTTTTTTGAGAGCAAGGAATTATTCTACTTCTTAAAATCATTTCAGTTTTATTATGGTATAACTAACATATAGTAAAGCACAAAATTTGATATGTCTTGACACATATTTATGTGTATTTAACTATCTAGCCATCTATATATATATATAAATATCATTATCACAATCAATATAATGAACGTAACCACTGCCCCCAGTTTCTTCATGTCCCCATTTTCATTCTGTCCTTCTCTCCCCTTCCTGGCTTTCCCCTCCCCTGTTCCTCGGCAACCATCAAGATTAGCTTACATTCTCTGAAATTTTATGTAAACAAACTCTTTCTCTATGGATTCTTTCACCCAGCATTATTATTTTGCGGTTCATCCACATTTTTTCACCAATCAGTAGGATATCTAGTTAAACTGCTGAATAATATTCCATTTTATGCATAGAACTTAATTTGTTTCTCCATGGACATTTGGGTTGTTTTCAGTTTTGGGCTATTAACAAATAAAGCTGTTGTGAACTTCTGTGAACAGGTTTTTAACTAAAAATATTCTCTCCTCCTCAATTTCCAGGGGAACTTTTGTAGACTTGGTATTATTTTTAGAATTTGCATTATTGAAAAGTTTCTAGGTGATGCTGATTCTGCTGCTGCTCCCAACGATGGACTCTGACAGCCACTGATTTATACCATTACTATCTCAAACCCTATTATTGTACTTGGTCTCCCATTTCACAAGGAAAATTTGATCCAAATATACTGCAAAGGGACAGGAAGAAATCTCGGGGCCTTGTTACAACCTGGTAAACATATGCTCAGTAACATTTTTGATGGTCAGAAAACACTTTGGGCAACCGAACCTTAAACTCTGATTTCTAACCTCAGCCCAGAATTGCTCAGTAAGATTAATGCGGCATTTGAAATAGGAGGGCGCAGGAGGACCTTACAGTTACTCTATTCCCTAACCTCCATGCAGAGGTACAGTCACAGCTAATGCTACTCCCCATCCCTTCCTGTGTGTTTCAGGCTTTGTAGGAGCCGTGAAGTCCGTTACTAACTTGACTGTTGTGTAGTAATAGAAGTAGTAACTTTAAAGTACTACTTCTAAACATTGCTATACTAGAAGTCTGAACTTTCCATAACAGCATTCTAAACTGGCTTCCTGCCTTGAGTCTGGAGCTGTTTCTTCATCCTTACAGCTGCAGTTACTGGGTTACATTGTATCCCTAGATGCTTCACTGAAGCATGAACCCCAGGCTGAACCTCAGACCATCTGAGTGATATCCCCCAATTACTTGTCCTGAAGTACTAACGCAACAGTCACTTCCTTAATGCAAACTCTTCACTGCTCCATTTGTGATTTACAAAACCCCTACCTCACCCCCATTTACCTTCCCAGACTGACTCACCTGGTTCTTCTGACAGGAACTTCACTTTCCAGCTAGCTTGGGTTTCACCTCCTGTGCAGCCCACCCTTACTCTCACATAAATGACATTTCCTCTCCCTGAAAGTTCCTCCCTACACCATCGCTTCCCCATGACTCCAATGCACACTTGACGTACGGTGAATCACTTCCTCCAGGAGTGCCCGCTGCACTTAGGAAGGATGCTGCACCTCTCTGGCATCTCAAGGCCCTATTTGCATTGGTCCCAAACTACAATTACGTGCCACGTCTCTTCTCTCTTATAACAGCGGAAGTTCCTCAAGGATAGAGACTATGTCCAGTTCACTTGAGACCTGCCATCTGCTCAGACCAATGCCTTCTAGGAGCCCAGCATCATGGCGACCCTGAAGAAGATGCACCCCAAACACGGGCACAGAAAAATGCAGAAGTCCTTACCACATGAAAGAGTGGAACGCAAACACGTAATATGAATCCTAAAACAAAACCCTAACACAGCCACAATAGCACCTTTTACATAATATGCAAGTCAAGCACGTGTTTCTTACCTTGAGCTGTAGTTGCACCCGGGACAAAAAGAATTTCCAACAGTTTTCTCTGGAGTCCACCATGCCCAGACCACGAATTTCATTACGAATTCCAGAAATTATCTTGTCTACATCTTCATCACTGAACAGATCAGGGATTTCTCCTGCCCCCAAAGGAATGAAGAGAATTATTAAAAGAGTGCCACAATTTATTAGACAAGACTTGAAATGCTTTGTAATATGAAGTTGAGCTTAAATGATAAAGAGTTTGAAACCAGAAATGCGATTTTTTTTGAATTTACGAGACACACCACACAGGAGGACCAGCTATGACAAACACACCCACTAAACTCGTCCGTGGAGGAGTAACACCTCCGATCTGCAAGCCATCTAAGAAAGCAACACACTTCAAGTTAGGTTTATAGATTTCTCCCCAAAGACTTCTCTGGCAAACATCTCGAAGACAAATTATCTCTATTTAAAGTTCACTGAAACTACAGATAATTTGTCTTTGGGGAAGAACTTTCACAAAATGTGTTGGTTTAATCACCTGATGCCAGCAAGTCATTAATCAGCACGAGGAAGCTCTCATCTAGAACCTGGGCATCTGTCAACAGGAACACAGTGGGCATGTTCTTGGCTCCAGCTCTGATGTACAAATTGGCAAGATCTACCTGTAAGGAAAGGGGGCCATCATTCACGTTCTGTCACAAGGCTGATGTGGCCCTGGGAGCACACATGTGTGTGCTGGGGAGAACGGAGCAGCTACAATGGGAGACTGTGTTGTCCCTTCCCTCTTTACAGACTTTCCTCTGTGAACTGCTTCTTATGGGGGGCAAACAGCAGGGCATCACCTCCACTTCTGGCTGATAATGATGAGAGTCCTTACTGTGGCTTAATGGAGCCCAGGGACAAATACAGGTCCTGATGAACAACTCCCTTCTCATCAAGTGACAGCAAGTTTGGTAATGCCTTCATCAAGTGATGCAGCAAAAGGAAGCTTCTGCGCATTACAACTGCCCACTTCATTGTCTGGTTATGTGTTCAGTTAGTTTTATTTAGTAACATGGAAATCATGTGGGCTTTTTAAATTTTTTGGTTTAAAATAACACTTGCCACAAACTCTAACTGCTATTTTATAAGGACTATGGGGATTAAAAAAGCAAAATTTGAAAAACACATTAGAGTTTCTTGACTGTATTCCCATTACATTTTATTTTCATAATCGTATCCAAAGTGAAAGAAATCTCTTTGCGTTTATAGAGAAAGTATCTTTGCCACCCCCTCCTTTAATCACACGGGACTATGAATACTGCTGAGTATCAGGCATGGGCAATGCAAAAGAAAACATCATGTTTGTGTAAGGAAGTATTTAATATAATATTAATAAGATATTTTCTGAGCCAAGTCTACAGGCTTATAGGCTTATAGACCTATAAATGTTCGTAGAAATTTACTGTTGCTCATTTGACCCCGGAGGAGAAACAGCCAAAGGCAACGAAGTCCCCTGAAGAGTCTCCCCCTCCCCACCCCCCACGGCTGACGAGCGCTTTTATCCACTGGGCAGAAGGGGAGCAGGGGGGCCTGTCACTACTCACCCGGAGTTCCTGGACTCCAAAGCCTTCGGTCAGAGTGATCTGGAAGACCTCAAGGCTGCAAATGTAAGCGGCCAGGCGGGACAAGCTCTGCTTGCCACTGCCCCCGACTCCAATCAAGAGTGCATGACCCTGAGGGGTCCGCAGGAGCCGGCTGATGCGACACCTGGAGAGAGAAAGCGCACCCCCAGCAGATGACATCCATGAGCCTGGGGGCTACTTCTATTCCACTTTTTTGACAGATACTTAGACACTAAATTTCAATTTTTATTGCAAACTTTTAGTCCTTGTTCCCGTTTCCCCTGTCAAAGATTCTGCCTGCATCTGCTCCCCCATCACTTGCCTAACAAACCGTCCTGACTAATGACATGCGGACTCTCACCGCTGTATTACCCTCTGCCAGGATAAGACAGAACACAGGCACAAGGCCTTTCATCGAAGCGTCTCAGTTTTCTGATCAGCAAGAAAGATCCCAACCTCCCATCAGCATCTGTGTACAAGGACATCAGAGGGAGAACGTCTTTGTGTCAGAAGCCTGAGCTGTGGAATTACTTTGGAGAAAACAGATTTGTTCAGACCAACAGATATCTCATGTGGGATTTACTTCATGCAGATGACACACGCACCTCTTCATTGGATCCTTATCTCCTTTGCACTAAAGCTTTCCCTGGATCTCGATTTGTTTAAAACATTTACTGAAACCGTTAGAATCCCAGGGAGAAATTTCTGGCAAGGTCAACGAGTCCCTTGTTCTGTATTATCCAAGAGATTCTGAATGCGTAAACTACTGATATCATTGCTGCATTTTATAGTTAAATAGTTATTCCTTATAGTTAGGAATAAGTTGGCTTTAATCAAAATGTGGGTTTGGTCGAAGAAATATGTCATAATTATGTTATGAATTAAGAAAAACAACAAAACAAAATGTAAGCATATGGAAATCCAAATGCAAAAGAAATAGACACTTGTATTTGTTCTAGGTTGCTTTCCTGAAACGAATTTAAACTTCAAGCCCTGAATTAACCACAGAGATGGTATTTTTTAAAGGGCCCTTTTTTCAATATCTTGTAATAGCCTATAATGAAAAAGAATGTGAAAAGAAATATATATATGTATAACTGAATCACTATGCTGTATACCAGAAATTAACACAACATGGTAAACTGACTATACTCCAATTTAAAAAAAAAAAAGAGCACTTTTTGTAAAAATGAAGTTGGGATCACTTGTACTGGGGCCAACATGTGTGAGCATTTCCTGAAAACCTTCAATAACCGAGAAGACAGGTTATTTTTACATGCTCAGCCGTCCCATTAAATTTTACTTTACATGACCACACAACAAAACCACCTTGGGGAAAGCTGTAAAATTACTGCCCTGAGTGAGACCCCAAGTTACAAAGCAGGGTTTCCATTTCATTTTAACGTATGCTTTGAGGTCTATAACTCAGCAGAGCCTCTCAGCGGCCAAGTTCTTTTCTACGACACTCAAGGACACACCCTGAAATCATCTCTAACACTGAGTAAGCCAGTTTCTAATTCATCACCCCTGATCACAGTAACAGCCGTGCCTTTTAGGTCACTGAGAATTCCGTGTTGAAGGATTATAGAGGGAGACTCTTCCCTCAGCTTTGAAAGACCTTGAAGGACCTCTCTTTCACCTGAGCCACGACAGACACACACACTCAGTCTACGCTAACCCCACCAGAAACAGTCACTCATGACTCCCTTATACCAGGTCAGAGAGTCTAACTGAAGTGTCCTGTGTGTAACTGAAGGACTATAACAGTAGAGGGATCAATAAAACATCAATACTTAATGTGCTTATAACAGCTGATGATGGGAGGCCTCCCAAATTTTTCTTAGACATTTGGCCTAACTCTTCTAAAAATGGAATCCCCCACATTTTTTTGGTCTGTTTGAATTTCCTTCCTCATAGGCTTCATTCTTCCTTGACTTAATTTTAATCATGACTTCATTCTTTTAATCTCTGCCCAAATATCACTTGTTAGAAAAAACCAGTGGTGATTAATTGAATGGTGTCCCCCCCACCCCCCGAATTCATATACTGAAGTCCTACCCCCACGTCCCTCAGAACATAAGCCTATCTGGAAATAGAGCCTTTGAAGAAGTAACTGGTTAGGATGAGGTCATATCTAGGTGAGCGCCTTACCCAGTATGACTGGTGTCCTTATGAAAAGGAGAAATTTGGACACAGACGCACACAGAGGGAGAAGTCACGTGAAGACTGGAGTTAGGCTGCTACAAGCCAAGAACTACCAGAAGCTAGGAGAGAATTCTGGAGCAGATCCTTCCCAGCACCTTCAGAGGGAACATGTCCCTCCCAACACCTTGAATTCAGACTTCCCACCTCCAGACTGAGACAGTGAATACCTGTTTTTCTAAACCACTCAGGTTGTCATGTTTTGTTACAGCAGCTCTAGACATTGAGAAATGACCATCAGAACAGGGTTGAAGTAAACATGCCATTGACTTCCAATAAATCACATCACCCCCAAGCTAAAACCTGACCAAAAGCTTCTCACAGCATTTAGAACGAAATAAGCCCCTTTCCTTTGGTCACAAGGAAATGCCCTGTGTAAGTGAGGCCGGCTCCTGCCTCCCCATCTTGTTGTGCACTGCTCTCCCCGCTTCTCCACTGCAGCCACAGTGACCCTCTTTCTGCTTTTGAAAACATTCAACTCTGGGGCCACATGAAATCTGCCTGCACCTAGAACGTTCTTCCTCCAGATGTTTCCCTGCCTAGCTCCTGTTTACCATTTCTGCCTCACCTTAAATGTCACCTCCTCACACAACTATACAGTCCCTCTTTAGGAATCCTCATGTGTGTTTCTCAGAACAAACCAATTTTATTTCCCAGTAGGACATATCATTTTCTGACATTTTTCTTGCCTATTTGTTCACAGCCTTATAAATGTCCAGTTGCATCGTTAAAAACATAAGCTTGACTAGAGAAGACTGTCTTGTTGGCTGCTGTGTCCCCAGTACGTAGGGCCATGTCTGACAGCAGAGGTGCCACAGACGGTCACATAACCTGTGCACTGCACAAGGTGTGAAGTCTAGGAGTGAGGGAGAGCCTTGTCAGCCAAGCTTTTCACCAGGAGAGGGGCCTTTTCTAATTTTCTGCCCTGAAAACATGGCCCCCTTTTTTCCTAATTTGCACATGAGTACTGAATAGGCTGGCAACGTTCCTCTTTAGCACTCAGCAGGGCCTCAACAAACACTTAATCAAGGAAAATCAATTTGAGTCCATCCTGTCTCTGCCACTTAGGAACCTTCCCATTTTGAACAAGTCACTGACCTTCCTCTTTCTGAATAGTCTTATCTAATGGAGGTACAGCGAATCAAATTACGGCTCTGAGGAAACTTCAACAAGTAGTACATCTCTGCACGACAGTATGAAAATGGTGACATAATTTATAGAGGCACCTAATAGTTTTTTTTTTAAAGGATCCATGACACCTAAACCCGTTATCATTTATTTATTCATTTCTATAAAGATTATCTACTATTACACAACTATTATCATGTTTGGCCTTCTCGTGTTGGATGAATGTAAGCAATAAAAGCTCTTAGTGACCTTCTCTGAATCAGGCCACACATTTCCAGTTACATAAACTAAGGAGATATGGATGATTTTTTGCAGAAGATGATTTTCTCATCTGGCTCAGATTATCAGTGTACTTTCTTAAGTGTGGAATTCAATTTCCTTCCTACACATGAATGTTCTCGAGGCTTTCTACAAGCTGTCTCCTGCTTTTGACATGATGACTGGCTGCATTTACTGGTGTGTGACATATTTGTGTCACTCGAAAGGTTTGTGGCATACTATCTATTCTTTTGTTCTCAATCAAGTTTTTCTTTTGGTTTTTTGAGGCAACACTGGTTAACATGGTATAAGTTTCATGGAGACACTTACAGTTTTATACTGTATGGCAGACAGGTAAGAACTGATAGTCCCGAGTGCTTACTCTGATCTACTGAATCACAACACCAATTGTGGACACCCAGCCATTTTTACTTTGTGAACAAGTATCAGGGCAGTCAACTCACACATGTTGCATGGCATCTTCAAATAAGACAAGGTGCATTGCAGCATTGAGTTCGTTGTAGTTTTCCAGTGTTTCTGTAAGAAAAGTCTTCAGCACCTCCCAGTCCTTCACTGGCATGTAACAGGGGTCTTCTCTGCCATTAGCAAAGTGGCAGTAGATGAGGGGCTGCTGGAGCAGCACACGGCTGTCAACTCCCTGCAGGAGGAGGAAGAGGAAAATAGGGTCATGTCAACCACTGAAAACAATTTATCTGGAGGGAGAGTGACCTACCCAGGGAAAAGCTTGCAGATCAGTCCATGAGCAGCTGGGAGAAATGCTCCCAAGTTCAGACCAAGTGTATTCTGGAATCATAGCTGTTTCAGCAAGGTAAGCAGGTGTACAATTCATTCACGTCCTTATCTAATTTCTGCCCCAATGCCAATTAGTGCCAGAGCACACAGTGACCTCTGATGTTCATATGCTTACTTCAAAATATTTATTAGCAGTTTCCAGCATTTTCTTCTGAAACAAATCACAGTCCTTTGCATCTATCAGTTTGTCTCCATAAACACGAGAAGATTCATGAAGCCACAGGCGTATTAAATCATTCGGACCCTTTAAACATTCAGGAGAAGCAAATAAAATCCCCTACAAGGCAAGAGTGGGAAAAGCTAAAAATTCAGGAGTTAATGCCATTTCAAGATAATATTTCCCTCTGACATTTTCGTTAACTATATACAGAATTTAGCAATTTACTGAATGACAAAAAGTACTATAAAAAGTCATATATATACATATCAATAGTTGGACTCTCTGATAAGCAGCATTAAAAAAATTAACTATCATTACAGCCATTTTAAGAAATGCAGCTAAGACAATATTTCAAAAGCCAGCCCAGGTCCTAAATACTGAGTCTCAGAACTTGTGACTATTAATTCTTCCATGAGTTCAGTTTCCAAAACCAATGTACAAACAGCTAACATGAAAGTCACAAGATCATAATATTTGTTATTCTAAAATCCTCTTCTATCATTTAACTTAAGTCTTTAGTTTCACAGATGAAATAAAAGAGACCAAAAGTACACTGCCTGAATTCACACTTTGTGGGTAGGCAACACATTTGGTCTCCCACTTTCCCTCAAGACTGTCCTTCAGAATCTTGGATTCATATAGAGCCACTCCTCCTGGAGAAAGTCATTTTGCCCTGAACTCACAGGAGAACACCAAGGGAGTGGTAGAGAATCAGATGCCAAAGGCTAGTTGATTATTGGGTGATATCAGGTGTAGCTGCCAGACTGGGTATGAATGGTGAACAATTCGGCCTCTCACCCCAAGGCCTGCCTTCCGCCTAAGACGGAAAATTTGCTTTCAAACAACACTTGGTTGAGCATGGTCTTTCAGGAAGGTGCTAGAAACAGAGATGAAAAGGAATGGTCCACGTCCTTAGGAAGGAAGCTTTTGCCTCATGCAGCATTACAGTTTGGAAGCAGTTGTGGAGTGATTTAGAAAAGAGGGTTAGGTTAAAAAGAAACAAAAGTCACTAAATATAAAGAAGTCTCATGAAGTTTTCATATGCAACTAGTTCACTACTTCTGTCACAAAAGAACTTTAAACCATGAATAACTTTCCAACTACTTTTACACTACCGAAGGGGCGACACAATTTGGATATTTTCAAAATCCCAAGTTTTGAGTTCCCTCTTTGGAATGTCCTTTCTAAATCAAATACATCAACACTGTCCTTTTACTAGGTAAGCAAGTTAAGTGTCAATGCCAAGCCAAAATAATCCAGCAATTTAAGAAACTGTAGTTTCTCTTGATGGATGTTTCAAAATCTTATCACATAAATATTAAAAAAGTGACAAAGAATCCCTCTTACTTCTCACAAAATGAAACACTCAGATATTTATACAGAATCAATGAAATTGGGAGTCTAGACCTCCACCTTTGCTTCTGTTGCTAAGTCTCTAGAAACCTAAGAGGAATTACTTCTCACATTGACAAAATGGGAATAAACTTGCCACACTTACTTCACAAAGAAGTTTATGGAGGAAAATGAAAGAATACATTATCACATGTACATAGCTAAGTTTGAAACTAAGTTCTATGAATGAACGCCATCCATATTAATATAATCAATGCTCCATTCAAGACACAACATAGAGCCATCAAGGTACCTGGAAGATGTTTGACAGGTCTCTCAGGTTAAAGAGGTAGTGGAATTTAATGGCCGTGGGTAAAAAGTTACGTGTCATCATCTGATGGAATGCAATTGTGGCCTGTATCAAAGTGGGACCACTCCTGAGAACTGAGGATGCAAATGCTTGCTGCTGGAAATGGAAACTCAGGATTTGGCTGTAGATGGTGTTTAGTGCATCCAAGGACGGAAAGTTGAAGGCAAACACCGTGAAATGTCTCTGAAAAGAAAAGCAAATATTAGAGTTGCATAAAATAGAAAATGTAATGGTACCAGTAGATGACAAAAAAAAAAAGGAGGTAAGGTTTTTTCATCCCTTCCTGTATCCATGCCCACTGCCATGTCACATGGTGTCGCCTCCCACCTCGACGGACTCTCAGACTGGCCATGTGACTTGATCAAGCCAACAGAATGAGGTGGAAGTAACAGGGTGCCCGTCACTGTCAGAGCCCTGTGTATTTCCACTTGCTCTCTTAAGGCTCTACCTTTGCCATGAGTTTGACAGGCTTGCTGGAGATGAGAGACACAGGAAGCAGAGCCACGTTGTCCCAACCCAATCACTCCAGCTGATGTCACCCTACACTAGCTGACAGTTGCTCCCAAACATGTGAACAAGCCCAGCTAAGATCAGCAGAGTCACCCAGCTAAGTCCCAACTACCTGCACATCAGCAAGTAAGCAACACTGCCTGTGGTTCACTGCTGTTGTATGTATGCTGGGGGGGGGGGTGGCAATTGTTATGTAAAAGCTTACATACACACACAAAACCTGCACATGTTTATAGCAGCTTTATTCACAACTGCCAAAATGTGCAAACAACCAAGGAATCCTTGAACAAGTAAATGGATAAACAAACTGCAGTACGTCCAGACAATGAGGACTATTCAGTGATAAAAAGAAATGAGCTATCAAGCCATGAAAAGACATGGAGGAACTGTCAATGCATATTTAGGCTAAGAGACTGAAGCTAATCTGAAGAGGCTACATACTGTATGATTCTTAGTTTACGACACTCTGGAAAAGGCAACACCACAGAGACAAGAAAAGGATCGGTGGTTGCCAGGGATTCAGGCAGCAGGGAGGGCTGAACAGATGGAGCCCAGGGGATTTTTAGGGCAATAAAACTACTCTGTAAGATATTTTAATGGTGGATACTTGTAATTATACCTTTGCCAAAAGCCACAGAATGTATAACACGAAGAATGAACCTTAGTTAGTAATAACTTATCAATATTGGTTCATTGATTGTAACTAATGCAGCATACTAACCCAAGGTGTTTATAAATGAGTTTGGGGTGAGAGGGAGTTTATGGGAACTCTGTACATTCAGCTCATTTTTCTGTAAACATAAAACAGCTCTAAAAAAGTCTATTAATTAAACTAAGCTTACATGCTTACCCAAATGTCCAGTAGAACCATACATCCTCATTTTTACTCAAAAGCACTAAGAATCAAGAGCTAGCATGTTTGTGTATGACATTCAGGGGATATTTGGGGGAACTGGGGGGAGAGCAGTACTCACACCCTACCTGTAGTCTAGGGTTGATAGTGAAACTGCCCACCTTTGGATTCATGCAGGCAATATACTGACAGCTGTGAATTTCTTTAAGCATCACTTTCTGTCTATCATACCTGCAAGAAAGAAAACAGAACCTTAAAACCCAAAACTCAAGATGGTAACACAACAAAACCCACCACTGCGTAAGGACTTCAGCACAAATTGTCTCCTCTGATCTCTATAATCGCTCTGTGATGGAGGGGGGGGGGGAGGCCTGATGGCCTGTCTGAGCATCATAACTGAAGCTCAGAAAATTGAAGGCTACATGGCTGCTTTGATGCCAGAATCAACATATGGAGCTGAATCAATACCTACAATTACTGCTCACTGATTCTCATGTGAGTCTGGTTAGAAATGCCCACTGCAAGACTGGGGGCTCTCTAACATCAGGGGCTGCAGACTGCAATGCCCAGATATTACCAGATAGTTACATCTCACACAATAAGGTCAAGCTTCTGCTAAGCAATTTAGCATGAGTTAATAAACCAAAGAGTTTAGTGCTTAAACTGGGCAGTTCATGTTTCTAAAATACTTTTTCAATCCAGTTCTTTCCAAGATACAAAGAAAACCTATTCCATTTAAGAGGAGCAAAGGGGGATGGCAAAGTGAAATCCGAAATTGTCATAGAAGATGCTCCTTAGAAGAGAAAGAAATTGGGGTAATGCCATTTTAAAAAGCTTATCCATAGTAATAATAATTAGCTTTTGGTAGAAAAGGAAATACAAAGAATCGCTTACCAGTGTCCATAATCAATATGCTGTCGAATCAGTGTGTGGGGCTGAACAGTGCCATATAAGTCCACTGCAGGCATATTCATATCATCAATGAAATAAATCAATTTTTTATTTCCTCCTGGACCATAGTTACGACCAGCCTTTTTCTCTAGAGGTTTCTCAAGAACTCCTGAAACCAAGACACATAATTTTTTCTACCAGATAAAATGTAACCTTCTCTTTAGACATGCTATAAATACGTATCTATTTATATATACATATAAAATATAATCTTACTCTTTTGAAAAAAATTTTCCTCATCCTCTGCCCATTTCATCCACTCTCTGGGTTCACTACCACCTCTCTGCAGGTTAGTACCAGACACGTGTCTTTGATCACTTCCTTCCATGTCATGCTCTCCTGCCAACCTCTACCCTTTCGCCAGAGCTCCCCCAGACTCTCCTTTCCCAGAGTCAACATCAGCTCCATGGTCTCACACAGGCCACCACATCTGAGACAACACCATTGTTGATCTGTGCATTGTCCTCCCCTGGACCTGCTGTAATACATGAACCATGGCTGGTCCAGCCAGCGCCTGGTCAACCAGACCTTGTTTATCACACTTGCAATAGAGTCTAGGGACACCTTAAGAATTTCTCTCATCTCTCTTCTTGGGTCATTGGGTGCAGAAGTAAAAGAGGATATTTTACGTAGACATTATTCTGTGTGCACATCAAGTTACATTTCTTCATGTGCCTATCTGACTTGGTGTTGATACGCTTGAGAGAAAATCATGAATGTAGAAAATCGTGAACAGTGTCGATCTGAGATGTAGTATCTAATTACTTGCCAGTTCTTGAAATGGACTATAAATAGCTTGAGGACAGGACTACATCATGTCCATTTCCGTGTTCCTGATGACAACCCCAACAAATAGGCAACTTGTTAAATGAACAAATGAATGGATGAAGAAAGACAGAATGAATAAATTAAGAAATCTCTCTTCCAAGCAGCAGACCTGTAGTTCCAAATGCTTGCTGGACCTCAGTTCCTAAAAGGCACTGGTACCTGGATGTCTGGCCAACATCAAATATGACTATTCCCAAACTCAATTTAGCATGCCTCTTCCCCCTCACAACCTGTCTCTTCTTTTTGACTTCTGTGCTCGTTTATGGGATCAACACTCAACCAGTCAGCCAGAGGCAAAGCCCTGGTGTCATCTTTCCCTCCTGGTCCCTGATCTGCCCAACCACAGCCTGCAAATAGTACCTCACATCTCTTCCTTTTTGCCTCTCCCTCTACAACTTTCATCCAGGGCAACATTTCATTCAGCTGGTACACTGCTCAGGGAGGCTGGTCTCCCCACCACAGGCTTCTCCTCCCAAAGGAGAGTTTGCATCTTATCGGTTCCTTGCACCCCATCAATGGCTCACCATTTCCCATCATATAAAGTATGTTCCCTTCCACTGGCATCTCAGCTCTCTCTACAGTTACAGTGACCAACCATCCCAGGTTGCCTGGGACAATCCCAGTTTTAGCAGTAAAAGTCCCAGATCTCAGAAACCTTTCCAGTTTTTGGCAAACTAGACAACCAGGTACTTCATTCTATAATATAATTCTAACCCACCACTCCATACTTTTCCCAGTCTTCTACTTGAGCACTATGCTTCAGTCCACTTCGAGATTTAATTAATTGAATGTGTCCCACCATTTCCTCTTTCATGTGTTTGCTTAAGCTGATTCTTCTAACCTAAGTCCCTCTTTTGCTCTCCTACTACCCCATCTCAAAGGTTTGAAATTCTAACTTTCTTAGGTAACCTAGCTCTTCCTATTCCTCCTACTAATAGGCAATGTCTAAATCTATTCATGCCTGTATCCCTTCCAAGAATTAGCAAGATAAACTTTGTTCAACTACTGAACTGTAGCCCTTATCCTCTACTGACAACTTATAAAGTGAACCCTTCTTCTGTATCTGTGAAGGAAAAACATGTATTATACACAGTGCCTGGGAAAAAGTAGATAAATAATATACCTCTGATAAAGAAATGAATGAAATACTTCTGAGTCAGTTTTTCAACTGTTCCATTCACAAAGATGAGGAAGACAAACTCGAATAAGAAAGAGATTAGAGAACAAACATTCTTGTCTTAGTTCCTGATGTCAGGAATAAGAAACTTTGGTCTCAGTCTCTACCAATGTAGCTAAGGAAACAGCTACAACTCACGCAACACAGAAACCACATTCAGGTCAGCTCAACAGGTTTAACAAACTGCTGGACAGCAAGGAGCTTGGCTGCCCCCACACAACATAACCCCATGGCTCTGGTGGACAGATGGACAGACCTCCTACCATGATCAGCTCTTTATACTAGTTCTCTCTTTCCCATGTCTACTTCGTTTGCCCTTCTGAATTTCGAATGCCCCAAATCCGTGTGGTTCTTTTGATTACCTTGACACATGTCTTCAACAATTACAAATTATTCTTAGAGTTCTCCTAAGATTTAA